CCCACTCGTTCTAAGGAATGTTCTGGAACCCATGTAGTGGGACGAAAGCCTCTGTTTTTGTCAGTTTCAATTTCATCCTTCAGCCAGCTTCGGTCACGTCAAAAGTATCCTGACCAGGCTGCCCGTGGAGGCTGACATTGTCAACAGTTGCAAAATGAAAATGGCGTTGACGGCTGGCGCAGTAAGCGCCTTTTTAATTTTATATTTGTTGTTATTGTTTCTGCCGCTGCTCCTGATGATGATGTTGATGTTTGTTATGCATGTCCTTACTGCCCGCCATTTGTGCGAGCCCCAGAGGTGGTAGTGGTGCCAGCGTCCACTCGGCCAACACCGGCAAAGGGTCGCGCCAACTTTCTGGAGGAGAGCTTCCCCTGTGGCTCCAGCTCTACGTGCCTGCGTTGCACCAGCCGCGGTGCAGCCCCCCTTCCGACCCCCCACCGCCACGAGCCCATCTCTCACTTCTCCGGCGAATCGCTCGCTTGTTGCTCTTGACTCCCCGGCGTATTTCTTGAGAAAACTTTTCTGGCACTCGCCGTCCCTTTCCTCTGCCGTCCCCGCCTCTGTGCTCCGTAAGCCCTCTCCACCGGCTTCCTTTTTATTTTCTTTTAATCATATTTAATTTTTTTAGCTTTTCCATTCTCGGGCTCGGGTATTTTCCTTCAGTTTTTCTCCTCTTTGCCTGCTTTTTCTGGCGCCTTTTCGCGCTGCTGCTGAGCAACCTGCTGCTGGTTTCTGGGCGCCTGTTCCACCACTGGACTTGGCCGGCCATCCAGCCATCCAGCTGCCTGTCTTGGCCACGTTGGGGCGTCCGTCCAGTGGTCAAGTTGTATTTACACTTGTAGCGCATTGATTTTTCCTTCTCTTTCACGTTTTTCCACCACTGTCCGCCGCGATATGCCTTTGTTTTTTAAGAGCTTTGTTTTTGTGCGTTTTTTCTGCAGACATTTTTCATTCGCTTTTCCGTTGTCTTCGGCTTGTCAACTTTTGGCCAGACTTTTGTGTTGGCTGGCAGGTGCTGCCATAAGCGAATGTGTGTGTGGAATCTTACATTCGCTACTCCATTTAAAGGCATACTTCAGTTTCTTAACTTTTGAATTTGTGCTAATGGTTTTATAGTACCAATTTAAGTTTTAAAATGTCATTCAGTGTCTTAAAATAATTAATATAATATACAAAGTGATGGATTGCTTGCCAAGTATTGGGGAGAAAAGAAGGGGCTCATTAACAAACCGCTGCTAGAAAATACATGAATAGAAAAGGGTTGCGGGCAACTGAGACATAAAGCGGGGTGCTGAGAACCCGTGGCCACCTGATATCTCGTTAACATGCATCAATAATGACCCAATCCCAAGAGCATCCTGCCCGCCCTCATTCCATTCCCCTGGCCCCTCCGCGATAGAGAAGTTACTCGCAGATAGAAGCTCTCGAAACACGCTCCGCCGAGCCACTGGCAACGGACGGCGGACAGCGGACGTCGGCCAACTTGTGAGCTCTTAATTAGTAAATGCTGGCCATTATGGCGGATCCTGCCCTTCTACGCCCCTCGCGCCAGTACAGAACATCTCGAGTAGCAAACAGACCAGAAAGCTCCTGCCCCTCCGCACTCGCACGCTTGGCGGACTCGTATATAACCCATACAAAGGGAATTTCATACATTTCATAATTATCAGGCGAGTCAAGAACCCCTTTATCACAAGCAGGCGCACCTACAAGCGCCCTTCCACCCACTTCACCCTCTATGTGCTGGGGAAGCCAAAGGATAACGAGGGAGAGGGAAAATAAGACAGAGTGAGAAAGGGCGCATCTACGCCCCCTGCTCCGCCTCCTCGAGTCCTCCCGAGCGCGCTCATTTTCGCGAGCGTGAAAAATTGAGCAACCAAGGAAAATACGGAAAAAAGGAAAATATAGCTGCGTCCTGGGCCGGAGACATGCGCACGTGTGCCGCGGAAATCGCGGAAGGGGTGGGTGCGAGGAAAGCAGCGAGGAAAGGAGCTCGGCAATGAAAATGTACATTTCCACTCGGCTCCTGCAGCCAGCCCCACGCGGGCAGAGACGGAGGCAGAGGAGCAGCAGCCGCTGTCGCAGGCAGACCGCGTCAGGCACGCGCTGCATATGGCGATTCGAGGCAACGGGAACAGCTCTGGAGAACTCTGTTCACTCGAATCGAAAATCGAAATAGTTGGAAACTTAATTTGCATAATTTCCAAATAAATCCCTTCGAACGAACGCATCCGAGAGGTGCATCCGGACAGGGACTACTGCCACCCCTTGAATCGTCCCCTTTCCCTCTTTTTGTTGTAAGGTGTAAAAAATGTGTAAACGTATCCTTTATTTGTCCTTTGTCTGAACTACATTTGCATATGAATCGTGGCACTTTCGTGAGCTGAATCCCTTGCATTTGCATAATCGATGCGCGCATGCGTGCAGTTTTTACTTTACGTTCGCAATACGATATGATTTCTACCCCTCTGATTGATCAGATCTGAAGGTGACCTGGGAGGGAAAGCGACATATTGCCAGTCTATTTTCACGGATAATAATATCCACTGAAAACGTTGATTTTTTAGACCTGATCGGTAGCGCTATTTACATTTCCATTTTTCACATCAACCACTGTATGCAGATACAACATTAAATGTTCGACCAAATCAAAGTAATAACAAAACTTAGGTCGTCTTTAAGGGCAAGTTCGGCGCCATAGTCAAGAGTATGACGAGCAGGAAAATGCGGAGCAGCCGAGACACGACAAAGGTGCCTAGACCAAAAGTGGGCGCCACAGCAACGGAACCCCCTGCTCCCCAGGATCCCCCAACGAAATAGCAGAGAGAATGGCGCAAAGTAAAAATCGAAGAAAGACAATTAAAATTTATGGCGAAAACGGAGCGCTGGGAACAAAGCGCTGGCAAACAAATCATAAAATGTAAATGAACTACCAAGAGAAAACAGAATGAAATGCAAAGAAAGACAAACAAAACGGTGAGAGTAGGCTGGAAAATGGAACCCAGTCGCATAAAATGTGAATGAGAAACGAGATGAGAAGCGCCCAAAAAATGGCAATCCTTTTCGGGGTTTTCGCACGAAGTGTAGTACTCTACTATCATGATTGTCAAATCAAGTGCCCCAAAAGGGGCCGCAAAGACGGCATGAAGAGTTATTTGGGCTAGCTATACACATAGCTCCCTCCATTTTTCCCATACGTCAGTCTCGCTCTTAGGATCCCGGATTCGACCAATGTCTGACTTCGGCTGCCAACACACGGCTGACCTCTCCTAATCCATCCGAGCACATATGTGGGCGTGTGTATATACGCGTTTCCTGTGTGCAGTATCCTGCCCATGTACTCCTGTATTGGTGAGCGAGAGATTTGCGCCAACAAATCGAAATGTTGCAAAAACGTGCTCATATGGCCCACACACAATGGCACAGCCACACAGGCACACATGCTGACATACACATCCACCCTCCACCTTCCGCTCGGAATTTCCCGCAACCGCTTTTCCGATTTCCACAAAAATCGCGCTCAGCTAGGGGTTGGTTTTTCCGAACTTCGCGATGTACATACAAATATTTTTTGTTTTTCATTTCTCTTTCGCACACATGCCCGAGAGCGAGAGACATATGCACATACATATGTACTGCGTGCGCTGTGTGTGTGATGTGTTGTGTACATGTACATGATTTTTTGTTGTGGCTCTGCGCCAACGCCGAGCTCCTTGCTCTCCCTCTCCTCCCCCAAGCGGCTATGTAAAGGCGGCCTGCATGCATGGCACGGAATAGATAACATATTAAAAACTGAGCACATGCGACAAGGACAGCACCAGCAGTCCTGGCAGCGGTTCGGCAGAGCCCCGGAGCAGCAGAGCAGCGACGCAACGTCGCCGCTGGAAAAGCTTGAAAAGCAGCGCTGCCGCTTTCCCGGGCAGATGAGCAGAAGAGTTGTACATGTGTGGGGCGCACACACACAAACACACCCCCACGTCAGTCGGTTGTTTAGGTCTCGTGCGCTCTCTTTCGCCACTGTCGTCTGTCTCGCTCGCAACGCTCTCCCTCTCCCTCTCGCACACTGGGCCACTTTCCCCCATTCGACAGCGGCAGCGGGAAAAACTCAACTCGCAGCTTTTGAAATTTCCATAAGCTGGTAAAAAAGGGATATGTTGCCGTCGACGGCAGCGCCAACGCCGGCAGCGGCGTCGGCGTTTTCGGGGGCCGTTAAAAAATGTTACACTCCCGCGCAGTCGGCGGCTCCAATGTGTGACAACTGTGGGCCGTGAGTGAGTAAACTCCATGTGGGCCAACAGCACCGCTGGGGTGGGTGTCCTTCCAGCTCCTGTTGTTGCGATTTCCCTGTTGTCTGGTGGTGGCTATTACTCTTTACGGGCATTCAGAACCTCCACATGAATACGTGTGTGTCTGTGTGTGGGGGTGTGTCTGTGTGTGCACGAAGGGATGTCGGTGTGCGTGTGCTCTTTTTTGCTCCTTTCGTGTCCTTTCGGATCGCCTCGTGTTGCTCGGCTCGTGCTCGGTTTCGGCTACGCATGTGTATGCAAATGTATTTCGTATACACATATACATAGTACATTTTTTTCGGTGTACGTGACGTGCGAGGACATCCTCTCCCTCCCGCCCCGCCCCCGCTCCACGCAGCTGCTGTTGTGATAAGGCAAAATATATATTTTATATGATGAAGGAGTAAGGACGTCGACGTCGCTGGCGGCGCCGCTGCCTCTGCCGACTGCGCGGTCAGCTTCCAAGGAGCTTCGTCCTGCCGAACGGAACGCCGCATCCTCATGTGATTCCTGTTTCGCAGACTCCGACTATTTGTGGCCCGCTGCTCATACGTGTGCGCGTACGTGGGCGGCTGTGGCCCACGCGGGCTGGGGGCGTGGCGATTGGGGGTGGCAGTGGGGGCAGCGCGTGTGTGCCGTCGCTGCCGCCGCCGCTGCTGGCGCTTCTGTTAGCTGCGACGCAGTAGCTGTGTTTTTTCAGGCCAGGCCGACATCATTTGAATTAGTCGCTTCGTGACGTTTGAACGGTTCGAAACATACACGCGACGCCCACACACGCCGAACTTTACCCGTTAGCCGTGCCCGATTTAACCGCTACGATGTTCAGCGGCCGACTAGAACGCCGCCGCCAATAAATTCCAATATTTTAACGATCGAGAAGTATGTTAGAAAACTATAATCTCAAACGGGAGTAACAATTTATAAAGAGATAACGTTTAACGAGTGATTGTAGCTTTAGATAAAACCTAATGATAATTTATTGATATTAATAAAGACTTTTTTATTTTGGAGATATTTTTTAATTTACGATTAACTATAAATAACCAAATCCACTTTAAACAAGTTTCTTTCAAAAGTGTGTTGCATTTGCAAGCATGCAATTATGACCACTTTCATAATTCTTTTAGAGCAATCACGCCTTTCTATAGTTTTTGAAATGTCAATCTTTTAATCGCGTTTGGATAGTGTATCATCCTGGACTCAAGTATTTTGCTTAAATCAAACCTAAAAAATTGACAATGAAAGATATTTTGAAACAATATATTAACCAAGTGAGTTTTGTGTGGAAGCCGCTGTAGTGTTTATAGTGTGACGGACATCGCGCCCATCATAAACATAAACATGTGCAAAACATTTCAAATGAAATCCAAAATCAGTTCTTCGAAAATTGCTATCCAAATTAAAGGATCGAGATGGACATATAAACAGACAAATGGGCCGCAAATTGACCTGTCAGCAGCCATTTAGGGGAAAATACCTAGCCCGTCGCGATCTACCTGTTCAGCTGGTCTGCACTTTGTCCTGTTTATTTATTTGCTGTATGTGTGTCAACATACACGATCACGCACCTGATTATCACCTGAACGGCCGACCGGACGGGAATCCTTCGACCTTCAGAGTGAGAGGCATGCGAGAGCGAATCTCTTCCGATCCTGCCCACCCCTACTCACATGCAGGCATGGTGTGCGGTGTGTGGTGCGTGGTGTTCGAGGGTTGCATGTGTGCGGGGTGTGTGGTGAGGGCCGTTCCCTCATAGGTGAACACCGCTACCAACTTGCTGTGAATTATTTGCATAGATATAGCTCAGTTTGTTGCAAACCCTCAACGGGAACGTGTTACGATCGAGGCGCGCGAACCCGTCCTCGTTAGCATTTTAATGAATACTGAGTATATGTTTTGCAGTCACTTCAATATTAGTATAAAGGATTAATGTGAACCAAATAGGTAGTGCAAGTGCAAATCGAACAATAAGTATCGAAAGGATATTTCAGTTATACTGAATATATTTATATGGTACGTAGGGTTAAAGCAATTAGATTTCGTGAACATTTTTGATATCAGTGAACGATTGTTAAAAAAGACTGGCTCAATTTATTTTTTCCAAAATCGAAAATGTCATTGTGATTACTTTTAGACATATAAACTGAATATTTTGTTTCGTAAACGTGTGGTGGCTTTATCTATTCTTTATTTAAGTTATATTTTTTTATCCATGCTTTATTTTTATTTGCAAGGTAGTTATTTATGATAAACCTAAAATAAGCATTTTAAATTATTATCAAGGCTTCTTTAAAGTTAATCTTAGTGAGAAGCTTTATTAAGATACAATAAAATTACTATTAGGACAAAAAAAGATTTTCTGTAAAAATTAAACATTTAAGTCCGACGAAGTGTCGCCTCAACGTGAGATCCTTAGCCACCTTCGACTGACTTACTTTGCCAGTAATTAAAAAACTTGACAGTTTCTCTTCTCGGCGTTCCACTAACTTGCTTTTACCTGCCGCCACTCTAAAGCAAAATAAATAAATAAAAACGTTGTCTCAGCTGCCGCAAACCGCAAATGAGTTACGAGCTAAAAAAAATGGCAAACCAAGCCCGAGCAACGACGAGGCAAGCGCCTAGCAGCTCGCTGCTAATTGCACATTGTTGCATTCGAGCGTGGTTATCCTTTGGCTCTGGTTTCGGTCCCAGCAGAAAGTCCTGGCGTGGAGAAGCATGTGTTAATATGCGGTTTCAAGCCCCCTCCGCCCACCACTTACTACGCAGAAACCGCTCCCGAAAGGTAGACGGGCGAGCTAAGGATGCAGCAACTACGGCAAATAAAAATGTTTATTTTGCCTGCGCTCCTACCAAAGTTTTTTAATTTTGCCTAAAGAAGTCAGTGAGAGGTGGACTCGGAAGTTTCCTAGGCGGACGTAGTAAGGCAGCTGGTGACTCTTTTAAAAATTCACACACGCAGCGTGCGCAGCTTTTGCGTAGAAGGGGTGCGAAGCCATGCCAGACAGTCGCTGAATTAATTAGATACCTCGCTCAGGATGTGGCAATCACTTAGACAATTAACTAGGCCAAATCCAGACAAAAATCAGAAATTCTTTTTAAAAAGTTATATGTTGATCACTTCTCGACAGTTAAAAAACTAAAGCTGACTAAAAATATTGGGATCTTTGTATACAAGGGAGGTCTCTTCATTGTGCTCCCATATTGCCGTATTCATTCCACTGTGGTTTATTTGGGGCACGGTTTGACAAAGCAAAACAAAATCCGAGGCAGACGCATGCTGAGACAGTCGAGAGGGGGCAATGAGCCATTATCACACATCACACATCTGCATGTGATATCCTCGAGGATATGCGACACGACACGTAGCAACTGTGATTGCTACACCTTCATGCGGCTGTTCCCCGGCATTGTTTTCCTTTCCCCATCTCCGCCATGTTGTTGTCTTTTTCCTTGCCATTCTCTAGCTCCACAGCTGGAAAAATGATATATGCCGCGACTCATTAACATATTATCACACGGTACCCACTTCAGAAATGCCTCACAGCATATGTCATGAATACGAATACATTATGCCCGGCATTATCCTTAAGCTTTGCTTTTTTGTCTCTCACCTAAAACCTGCTCTCTCTCTCTCCCTGATTATTCTTTTCTCAGAGAAGCGGAACAGCTTGCACGTGACTGGAACGGGGCATGTTAAAGGACGCCAACCAGGAGTTGATTAAACGTCGCCAACTGACGACGCTCCCCATGACCGACTTCGCTCGTCAGGTGGCGCCCGCACAGCTGCCTCTGCCGCTCCAATTGCCGCTACCTCTGTCTATGCCGCTACCGCTTTTGGCGAAGACTCCGACTACCGATCACGCCCCCATGCACTCCACGCCCCCAACGACGCCGCCCACGCCGCCGCCTCTGCCCTTGAACATGAGTCAGGCGGCATCGGCAGCCACAGAAGCAGCGACTCCTTCGGGGCACAGTCCACCAGCCACTCCCCCCTCAGGAGGGGCACCAGGTGCGAGCTCGGCCCCACAGGATCACTACAGCCTGCGCTGGAACAATCACCAGAACCACATCCTGCGAGCCTTCGACGCACTGCTGCAGACCAAAACGCTGGTGGACGTGACTCTTGTCTGCGCGGAGACCTCGATCCGGGCCCACAAAATGGTCCTCTCCGCCTGCTCGCCCTTCTTCCAGCGCGTCTTCGCGGAGACGCCCTGCAAGCATCCGGTCATCGTCCTCAAGGATTTCCGGGGCTGGGTGGTGCAGGCCATCGTGGACTTTATGTACCGCGGAGAGATCAGCGTCCCGCAGCAGCGCCTTCAGACCCTCATCCAGGCCGGAGAGTCGCTTCAAGTGCGGGGCCTGGTGGAGAGCTCTGTGCCGGAGCACACGCCCACTCCAGCCGCCTCGCCCGATGACTTCGGGATGATGGACGCATCGATGCTCTCCTCCAGCTTCGAGGACGAGTCGCCCTCGATGGTTCGACCGTCTGCGGCCGGGAAACTGATGATGCCCTCCGCCCGCCTGTTTGGCAACGCATCGAACTCGATGGCTGCACTCAGCCTGCGACGCAAGCGGGAGCCGGACTGCGACCGCGAGTTGGAGAGCGACCAGGAGCTGGGCGGGAGTTCGCCCATGCCTCGACGCAAGCAAGCCCGCCCACGCCGCCGATCTGGCGACGTGCCCCACGACTTTGCCCTCAACAAGACCGACACTGAATCCTTGCAAACTGTGATCAAGCACGAACTGCTCGAGCGAGCGGAGAGGGATCACGACGAGGACCATGACGAGGATCACGCCCAGAGTGAAGCTGACAAAAATGATTCTTCGCCAGCGGAAACGTCGATGGACCAGGCCAAGGAGAAGCAGTCGCTTAAGCCAGAAGCACCCGATCAACCCCTGAACCTCAATGAGAGCCACCATCATCTCGAGCTGGACGACGAGGACGATGACGATCATGATCGCGAGGAGGAAGAAGAGGAGCAAGACATCGAAGAGCTTATTCACACGACCAACGAGCTAAGGCGGCAGGCGGCCGCAGCCGCTGCCAACGCGGCCGCCATGTCGCCCACCCCCTCGCCCTGCCCCAGCGACGGGCCCGAGGACCTCTGCACCACCAAGAAAGCCAAGGACGGAAACACCAGTGCCACCCACTCGTCCGACTGTGAGTCCAACAACAACAACAGCAGCAAGCTGCAGGACAACAACCAGCGCATAATGCTGTCCCTGAAGGACATCCGCCAACTGAACGCCAACCCGAACCCCACAGCCATCCACACGCCCACCAGCTGCTCTGGCGGCAACAACGGACTACTTAGCTTTCCACCGCCAGGACTTCGGCCACCAGGACTCCCGGATAGCCCACCCTGCCACATGGAAGCGCTGGAGGCGCAAATGCACGCTGCCGCGGCTGCGGCCGTGGCTGCAGCTGGAGCCGGGGAGCATCCCTTCCACCACATGGAGCACCAGATGGAGATGTCCTTGGCGGCCGCAGCGGCTGCGGCTGCAATGCACCAGCGAGAGCCAAGGGATCCCCGGGACCCGCGCGACCACAACGCATTTGCCAGCAACCTGCTGGGGCCAATGGGGATGCCCCCCTTCGGAGGACATAACGGAGGTCATCCGGGCAACAGCGGCCCAGGAAACGGATGTCCCGGACAGGCTGCGCACGAGCGGCTCGAGGAGAGTATGAATCGACTGAGCAAGGAGCTCGGCAAAGAGTTCGGCAAGGACTTTGGCAAGGAGTTTGGGAAGGAGTTCGCCCCAGCGTCGCCGATGAGTTTGCCGGGACACTTCAATGCACCGGATGGACCTCCGCATCCGCCGTCGCCACTGCCCTTTCCTGGCATGTCCTCTGCGATGACGCTGACGCCGCCTCACAGTGAGTACTCGGTTTGAATCTAATTTGTTTGAGTTCAGCCAATTGGGCCCCCAGAGGTCACTGGGTTATCTGTGGATTGAACGTCTACGCCCAGCGGAAGTCTTTAATAACGCACACCCACTTTCATCTGCTCACGTACAAGGGTCTAACCCCTCCCGACAGGTCCCACTCCTAAGCGACAGAAAGTCCTTTCGACACGTTTGCCTGTCCTTTTTGCCACTTTGCCGGAGTTGGCTGAAATGCAACATGTGGTCTCCGCGCGACATCAAAGTGTCGTCAAGTGACGAGTATCCTTGGAGAAGTGCTCTTGCATTGCCACGCAAAGCTGTTGCAAAAGCCCCTAAGCACATTATGGCTCCTCAGGTTCCTTTTGCTGCTTATATGACCAGTTAAGAACCCCATAATAAGCCTGACTCCATTATAGTCAATGGAGCAGGGACTTAAGCGGTTCCGAATAGGGCATACCTATCAGTCCACCGTTTCGTTTTTATACTAATTAAGTCATAAAAAGTTTGCGCCGTTGACAGCTCATAAGAAATATGGAAATGCAATCGTATAAGCAATGGGCTCCTAATAATTTGACAGTTTGGCAGGCCCCCGTCCGTTCTCCGTCGACAACATCGTCTGGGCAGACCTTAGGACTGGGAGAATGAAATGCCTTTGCGGTTGAGTTCCAGGTGGAACTGCAGTAAATTCAATTGCGTTTTATATGATTTTTATATTCATGTCACTCGGAGTCAGGCGAAACAAACGCAAGCACAAATTGAGGTGCAAAGGTTGGAAAAAGGCGGTTGGGGCTGGCTTCCGCCGTTGCGTGCAGAAAGCGCAAGAAATTTATGTTGTGTCTTCCCAACATGTGAGTTCCAGAGCGGGTTGAGTTCAAACTGTCAGCAGACGTTTAGTCAAATGACTTTTAAGTTGCCTGGCTGCCGAGCAGGAGACGGCTGCCGGCACTCCTCCTGCACCGTCTTCCATGTGTTGTGTTTAAAGTATGCCAAAGCGCGCACAACTTAAACCTTTTGGCAAACAACTTTGGCAGCGTCGGCGGCATAAATAAAAATACGTGGCGACGTCTCGTGGTTGGGCTGCCCTTCCCTGGTATGGTCCTTCCACACAACTTTTGCATATAAGTCGCGCGATATTCATATTAATAATATCCGTTTGGGGAGGCCCACGCCGAGCAGAGGCAGAGCCCAAGGACCAGGACCTTCACCTGGGGTGGCAGAGGGGCGGGTGAATGCAGGCGAGACGCGCGCACACAGGATATAAAATAAATTAAGGCACAAAAATATGAAAAATTGTACGAAAATGCCAAGTGGAAGTCAGGCAGGAAGCGCAATACCTTTTAATGCGACAAAAATTTCAGCCGACATATCAGAGCAGCGAAGTCGAGGAAGCGGTAGGGGCGAGTAAAGCGTACCAAAGTCGCGTCGTATTCGAGCAAATCGCTAACTACTGCATAAACAGGCTGCAGGCAATGAAGGATCCAGCCAAGGATACGCCAAAGCAAAGAACTCTTGAGTCTACGAGCCCGACTAGTAGTTGACTACGTGTTACCCTGGCCGTCTATTTTTATTTGTCTCCTTTAATGCAGTTCTAGTTACGCTATCTACACTGTACAAATGTTATTTGAAGAGGAAAAGAATTTCAAAAATTTGATTTTGAAAGGCTTTATTTTCGGATAAAAAACAGTTATCATATTACATTTTAAATGTTACCCGTGCAGTATACACTTGCATATATCGCATTCTATACCGAGCGTTGACCAAGTTTATGCTACCCCGTGCGGTTTAAAACATACCTCATCCCTGCTCCGGACCCTGCAGACAGTCCTCTAAGAGATTTACCACCGTTCGTCGTTCGTATGAAGAATGTGATTTATTTTTTTGGCTGAAACATTTTCGGCGTGAAAATCATTGAACTAATAGCTTGTGACATGTGGAGTGGGCTGTGGGGTCTATCTGCATGAGATCCTTCAGGATTTCAGGATTTCAAAGGAGAAATCCACTAATGTTGCGCGACGTCAAAAGAAGTTGGGAGAAAAGAACGCACATTACGTATACGCCGCGTGTTGTAATGTCTACTTCAGAAAACAGAGTCAAACAATGTGCGCTCGTTATTTGTGTCATTATGCTGCAGATACAACACATCCCCGAGAAACAGAAACGGATACGTCCCCTTATTCATATGCTCGAGCATTGTCTTCGCCTCCTTCTGTCTGTATGTGAGCCCGTCTGTTTTGTGGGGTTTGTTTGCATCTTGGAATCCGCGTCGCGACTTATGAAATCATTCAGCACAATGTAAATATTATGCGTTACCTCCCAGCTGACTGAAGGTCCTTTGCGGATCCCGCCGTGGTTATCCTTCAGCCTTCGACTTGGCTCATCAGCGCTCCAATTGTTTCACTCATGTGGAGAAGTGCACTCCAAGCGTAAAATATTAATAGAATAACGATGTGCCATTGTTTACTATCCGGTCGGAACCGTTTCTCGGAGTGTGTTTGCGTCTATTGTCTTGGCGGCTAATCAGCTTCAGTGAGCTGGAAAATGAGTCGCTTATGCTGAAATTACCCAATGCACTGACTGTTATAAAAGACGAGTGCAGTTTGCCATAAATATAAGTTATTCTTTAAGTCTCAGCGGAAACGAAATCAATATTAACTGACAATCTTTTCACCTACAGTGTTTGGTCTGGACTCCCCTCTCGGACTCTTTCCACCAGGAATGGATCCTGGCAAGCTCTACAACCCACTGATGGAAATGAGCGATCCAAGGGACATGCCTGGCGGGCCGCCTCCATTTCTTAAAAAGAAAAGTAAGTACAAGAAGCCCATTAAATAATTGAACAGAACAAACTTTCGCCAAGCCGAGCAAACAACTAATTAACCCGAAAGACAATGGCGAACCCCAGAAAGGGAACAGCCAACACCTCCCTGCCGATCGAAAGGTTTAAAATCATTTCGACATGATTGGCGTCGATCACGTTGAGGCAGTCGAGCTTGTAGGCCGATCGGTTCCGTGCCTGGCTGCAATACTTCACACCTGACTGATTGATCTCGCGCTCTGGCTGCAGAGTTCAAGCCGAGTCTTCTACCTTTGTACCTCTTGCATTTGATCTGCTGCACTTTTGATCACGTATTTGAGCTGGGGGCACTAAGAAAACACTTTGGTTAGGGATCGATTGCGGGTAATTGAAGAGCAAATAGAAAGGGTCATAACTAGTTTGTAAGTGGCTAGGCTGAACTATAACTGATTATATTATCCTAATTCTGTTACGAAATCAACTATGAGGGGATAGCTCGAACTTTGTTCCCTTTCGAAAATTACAGTCCGCACAAAAACCTCTTGGGCTGCACTCAGCAACACTCATTTCGTTTAAGCCACATTCTGTGCCTCTCCCTCACATCCTCCGCCCCGCCCCGAACCGTTCCAGATGCGATCACCGATCACCGATCCCCGATCACTGATCACTCGTGCGATCATGTGAGGCGGCAAATTTGTTTCTGCGGTTTTCCTGTGCGCCGATGCAATCGTTGAATCGCTCGAGAAATGGTTTGTTTGTTTCTTTATTGGTTTCTTGAATGGGGCAACATGTGCACCATGCATATCGCAGGCGAAAACGTAAGCATAAACGTCGCTTTTCCAGATTGACAGATGGGCGAGGCGAGGAAATAAAATCGAGATACTCGCCGTCCCATTCCTCTATCGTTTTTACTCAGCTCACCTGCGGATGATGTGAAGCAAGTGAAACCTCAGAAAGTTAATGAAGTTTTTTTGTTCACAATACATATGCTCGTGAGCCAGGAAGTCATAATAATTCCACATTTTCATAAATGTAGTTCACAAATCAATAATAGCCAATAGCCAACTGATTGACAACTGAGAAGTGGAGGATGGGAGGAGGGTAGATTTGAAGATAGGATTCTATAAGCTGCATATGAGCAATTGACTTTGACAGTTTATTTGACAGTCCACCGGCGTTGCTGGGTTAAGTGCTTGGCTAGTACTGTTTTCAGTTTATAAATCGTACGCATGTGGGCCGATGCTTTTAAAGATCTCTAGGCGCCATATCAAAGAGCTTGAGAATTGTGAAAGTGAAATAAAATGTGCGTCTGCAGTCTCACGCCAAAGTTAATTGCTTAATTTTCTGGTGCTCAAGAACCCGATTATTGAGCCCATCAATTAAAGGAATAACAAAATCTGAGTCGTGATCATATGTTGAGAATGTCAGGTTGAAGAATATCCAGAGAAGATTTGTTAAGTGTTATCTAATCTGGATGTTCAGGCATGCTGAATGATGCCGAAATTACAAACACAATTACAACAATGTAAGCCGGCAAATAAAACGCAAATCTGGCGTATAGCATGATATTCTTTATTGCAAATCTCCAAAACCCGTTCCGCAACTGATACCAATCGGGAGCTGGGGAAGCTCTACACTCGCAACTCCGATGCGATCCCCTCGTGGTCTGTGGCCGCAGTCGTGTGGGTGTGATTAACTGATTTGTTCACATTCATTTGTTCATTCGCCGATTGTTTTGAGCCCGTCTGTGAAACGTGATTTGCGATTTGTACCAAATTCAAATTTCGTTTATGTGAAAGCCCGACTTGACTAACAGTTTTTTCTGGTTGAACTTCATTAGACTGACTACACATTCGAAGCTTGCCAATTGCAGTTAGCTTTGGGGAATAGATATTTTCTGTATTTTCGATTTCACTGGAATCGAAGGGTCAGACCTTGCTTGTGACCCGGCTGCAGCAGACGGAGCCCACAAGCCAAGTTTTCCAGCCTCCCAAATAAAGGAAAATTCATATGATCAGGCCGAGGCAACCAGTGAATTAGTGTAAGCTGGAGCTACACATTTACCTGCTGCCTTTAAACTCTCCCACTCCTCCTTCATTGTCAAGCAGCTAAAGGGTTTGAGGAAAGGAACCTGTGGCTTCGCTGGCGTTTCTGCCGGTGCCAGGCCATATCTGAGGATCTAAATTGAGTTTTAGCGGCGCATGTGACGCCGCAGTCGCTGCACACTCTTAATTTGCATATAGAGGAGAGCCAGGCGAAGCCCGGCAGGTCAGGATGGGAACCTCCACAGCGTTCGTATTTCTTTGCCAGTGCCGAATGATCGCTCGCCCCAAGAATAGGTGCCACACAAAGAATCGTAGAAGGGTGTGTACGAGCTGAAAGTAAGCCGACCTCCCTGCAGATCCCAGACAATGGGTGACTTTTCAGCAAATTTGTCTAGGCAGCATATGAGCCAAGAGATTGAAACATTAGCAGATATAAGCCGAGCGATAAACTCGTGCTTGTGGTGCCCTTGTGGGGCCTCCTCCTCATCCCGTCCCAACGTCAATGCAGCTAAAAGCCCCCTCCTAATCAACTTTGTTCTCTTTTTTCAGTGCCACGACCAAAGGGACAACACTCGGCGCCTCGCGGCGGTCCTCCTCGGTCCTGGACCAACACTGAACTGACGGAGGCACTGCAGCACGTGTGGAACAAGAAGATGACCACGTCGCAGGCCTCGCGCATCTTCGGCATCCCCTACAACTCCCTCCTCATGTACGTGCGGGGCAAGTACGGAAAGAGCTTGAAGCTGGAGCAGCTACGCAAGGACTGCATCAGCGGACCACCAATCGAGATGCTGCAGATGGGCATCGGCGGAGGCAACGGGGGCGGCAGCGGCTCCAACAAGAGCGAGAAGAGCAAGGAGCGCAAGGAGAAGGAGAAGGACAAGAACTCCGGCAGCAACAACGGCTCAGGTGGCTCGTCGAATGCCCAAGGTGGCGGTCCGTCATCTGGAAACGGATCATCAATGCCGCATCCCGGTGAACTGGGCCCCTTGGGACCGCTGGACTTGGAGCTGGGTCTTCCCTTGGGTCCTCCTGGCGGACCCCGCAGTGGCAGTTCCGAGCCGGACCTGCTGAGTGGCCCCAACGCCCTCTTCAATCCCTTTAACCCGCAAGGCTTCTACCCGGACTTCGCCGGCGGCTTTCCCGGTCTCCCCTTGAGTATGCTAAACCTGCTGCCGCCGGCTGAGCGCCACCATGCAGCGGCTGCCATGCACCACCTCGGCGTGACCATGGACGAGGACTGCAAGTCCGTGGGATCAAAGCAGTCCTCCTCGATGGACGACGACTTCGCGGGTCCCGGGATGCCACTTTCCCTGGAGCAGCGTCGGGAGATGAGCGCGACGGGCCCACCACTGACACAGTCGAACGGCGGAGCTGGGCAGGATTGAAACTTGTGGCGGGATTGGGCAACCGGGGCTGCCAACGCCAATCCAATGTACTTCCCTGCTTTCGAGCTGGACCAGGAGCAGAACCCGACTCCGCAGTCCCTGCCTCCGCGACCCACCTTGCACCAAATGGCCTGCCGTGAGCTCAGCTTCAAGCCCGACCTGTTCATGGCCAGGCGCAAGCTGAAGCGCTTCCGGGCCAAGCGGCAGCTCCAGGCTCCGTTGGAAACGCCTACAGCAGCCGTTCCTGCTCCCTGTCCCGTCAGCCACGCGTTGCCACCGCTGAGGACTTGAATGTGAACTCGAATGCAATATGTCTACTATTAGTTGATTCTTTTTTCTGTTTAGTGGCCCCGAAGGACAATATTTGATTTATGAGGATTACGTTTCCTTTTGTTTATGAAAAGAAATTGTGTATATTTTGCTGGTGCTTTTAGTTCCTATTCCCAATTATATTTTGATATTTTACAATTAATTTTAGTTAAGTAACTGAATATGGCAAAGCTTACAAAGCGTTTGAGGCAATACATGAAACATAAATATTACTCCCTGTATTATTATATAATTTAAGTATGGAAAGGAATATAATCAAAATGAGAGAGAAGCTTAGGAGGAGAAAAAGTGTATATATGCGGAAATCCAAACCAACAAACAGCATTATCCAGCATGAGGCTGGGCAGCGATTGGGAGATAGATGTAAAGCAACCACACTGCAATTAGTAGTATCGACGGATACATAGACGATGACTGTACCAAAATTTTTAATGTTATTTTATAAAAGAAGATCGAAAAGAAAATTAGTTTTAGAATTAACTGTTCTCGTAGGCAATTCATATTTGTATAGAAAACATCAGCACTAGTACTCCACACTCATAGTTGTGCACATTCCCCTCACCAAACATGCACATTCCTAGGTATTCGTAGTCGCCGCTTTGTAAATCTCAGCCAACCTCATGGAATCCTGAAGATCTATCCGTTTTGTAATCTTATTTGTAAAGAAACAACAAACCGATAAGACAGTGACACATTCCCGCGCATAGTGTTAATAATTTATAAGCTCAAATAAAATATTTTAATATTAAATATTACACCACAAGCGTATGTAAGTAAAATAAAACTAAAGTATATGCATTACAATAAATAGTAAAAGTTATTAAATAAAACGTTAAATGTTTATCTTTAAATGGTTTTGCCGAGAGAGGAATCTCTACCTTTTTTAATTTACCCATAACCCTACCCCCTTGTGCCAGCAAACCAAGTTGAGGTTTGATGTCTGAAAATAAAACTTGTCCCATAAAAAATTGAAGCCAAGGCTTACTAAATCCGTCGTATTTTACAATCGAGCTTGTTGTCCTCAACATCTGAAAATGCTGACACCTCTTTACACTAAGGCGCTGGAAATCGTCCTGGAATTTTCGACCATTGTCTTGTGCACCAAGACAATAGGGAAAGCGAAGGGGACGTTGATGTCCAGCAGTCCATCATAACTCATCATTTGCATCAGCAGCTAATGAGCAAGATGTCTTCCCTAAATTTCTTAACATTAAAATTATAAACAAATTTGTTCTGTGATTTCGGGACTAAATTTTGTTTAAAAAAAACACGTATATAAAACAGCCATTGATTAAAAAGCCCTGATTTAAAGCTCGGACAAGAATTAATAATAATAAATAATAATTAATCTTATATCGTTTTTGTGAAAGGAAATTTTTCTCTTAATAATAAAATACTTTTTTCATTTAAGTGCTTAACGGCCTTAAAGCAGTGTTATTTAGTATATTTTTAAAGCAGTAAACATTTCAATACTTAAAAAGCTTCTTTAATTTTAGCAAAAGAGGGCGCTGCAAAACAACACATGATTATTAAGAGCATACTTCTGGTCTATATATATATAAGCAGTGCAGAGATAGGTGAAAGGAATGGTAAGAGTTGTGAAGAAAGTGGTGAGGGGTTGTTGCTATGCAGAATGGGGGTCACAGAGAAAGACGAGGTTGGTGTTTCCAGATTAGGAAAAATTTGACTCAACTTCATGAAAAGGAAGAACACATGGCGACTTCATTCAAAAATATTGCATTTTTTAGCTTGATAAAAGTGAACAGAGAAGAACGAGAATGGATAATATAAAAAAAAGAAGAAAAAAAGGGGGATAAATTGAAAATTTGCCTCTGCAAAACTGGACCCAAGCTTAGTCAATTTGAAATCGTTAAAGACCTAATTAATCGACACGCAAATAAATTCTTCATCTAGTTCTTGCTTCTTGCTTTTTTAAATTCCCCCACTTTACCTCAAAATCAGTCATGGATTTAAAAAAAACAATTAATATGTTTTCTTAAAACTCTACGAGTAAAGGGTTTTCAGAATGGGAACCTAAAACTGCACTTCTATAATCCATATCTTGAGTCATTGGATACCGATTTTGAAGTGGGATACCTCTATGAATTTGTAGTTAAATTCTCTAATAACCTACATTTAAGATTTTCTTTTAAATGAAGTTCAAATTTTGAACCCATTTCCATGTTTGATTTCTATGTGTGTTTCAATGGTTTTCAAAATGGGGACCCAAAGTTGCACTTCCATAATCCATATCTTGAGTCATTGGATACTGATTTTGAAGTAGGATACCTCTATGAACTTGTGGTTTAATTCTCTAATAATTTACATTCAAGGTTTTCTTTTAAATGAAGTTCAAAATTTTTAGCCCATTTCCATGTTCGATGTCTTTGTGTTTTCAATGGTTTTCATAATAGGAACGCAAAGTTGCACTTCTATAATCCATATCTTGAGGTATTGGAAACCGATTTTGAAGTGGAATCTCTCTATGAATTTGTGGTTAAATTCTCTAATAATATACATATAAGATTTTCCTTTAAAATGAAGTTCAAATGTTTAACCCATATTCATGTTCGATTTCTTTGTGTTTTCAATAGTTTTCAGAATAGGAACCCAAAGTTGCACTTCTATAACTCAACTCTTTAGTCATTGGATACCGATTTTGAAGTAGGATACCTCTATGAGTTGGTGGTTAAATTCTCTAATAATCTACATTCAAGGTTTTCTTTTAAATGAAGTTCAAATTTTTAACCCATTTCCATGTTCGATTTCTTTGTGTTTTCAATGGTTTTCATAATAGGAACGCAAAGTTGCACTTCTATAATCCATATCTTGAGGTATTGGAAACCGATTTTGAAGTGGAATCTCTCTATGAATTTGTGGTTAAATTCTCTAATAATATACATATAAGATTTTCCTTTAAAATGAAGTTCAAATGTTTAACCCATATTCATGTTCGATTTCTTTGTGTTTTCAATAGTTTTCAGAATAGGAACCCAAAGTTGCACTTCTATAACTCATATCTTTAGTCATTGGATACCAATTTTGAAGTGGGATACCTCTATGAGTTGGTGGTTAAATTCTCTAATAATCTACATTCAAGGTTTTCTTTTAAATGAAGTTCAAATTTTTGACCCATTTCCATGTTCGATTTTTTTGTGTTTTCAATGGTTTTCAGAATAGGAACCCAAAGTTGCACTTCTATAACTCATATCTTTAGTCATTGGATACCAATTTTGAAGTGGGATACCTCTATGAGTTGGTGGTTAAATTCTCTAATAATCTACATTCAAGGGTTTCTTTTAAATGAAGTTCAAATTTTTAGCCCATTTCCATGTTCGATTTCTTTGTGTTTTCAATGGTTCTCAGAATAGGAACCCAAAATTGCACTTCTATAATTCATGTCTTGAGTTACTGGATACCGATTTTGAAGTGGGATACCTCTATGAATTGGTTGTTAAGTTCTCTAATAATCTACATTCAAGTTTTTCTTTTATATGAAGTTCAAATTTTTAACCCATTTCTATGTTCGATTTCATTGTGTTTTCAACGGTTTTTAGAATAAACCCAAAGTTGCACTTCTATAACTCATATCTTGAGTCATTGGATGTCGATTTTGAAGTGGGATACCTCTATAAATTTGTTGTTTAACTTTTTAATAATCTACATTCAAGATTATCTTTTAAATGAAGTTCAAATTTTTAACCCCTTTCCATGTTTGATTTCTTTGTGTTTCAGTGGTTTTCAGAATAGGAACCCAAAATTGCACTTCTATAATCCATATCTTTAGTCATTGGATACCGATTTTGAAGTGGGATACCTCTATAAATTTGTGGTTTAATTCTCTTATAACCTACATTCAAGATTTTCTTTTAAATGAAGTTCAAATTTTTAACCCCTTTCCATGTTTGATTTCTTTGTGTTTCAGTGGTTTTCAGAATAGGAACCCAAAATTGCACTTCTATAACCCATATCTTTAGTCATTGGATACCGATTTTAAAGTGGGATACCTCTATAAATTTGTGGTTTAATTCTCTAATAACCTACATTCAAGATTTTCTTTTAAAAAAAGTTCAAATTTTTAACCCCTTTCCATGTTTGATTTCTTTGTGTATTCAGTGGTTTTCAGAATAGGAACCCAAAGTTGCACTTCTATAATCCATATCTTGAGTCATTGGATACCGAATTTGGAGTGGGATACCTCTATGAATTTGTGGTTTAATTCCCTAAAAACCTACATTCAATATTTTCTTTTAAATAAAGTTCAGATTTTTAGCCCCTTTCCATGTTCGATTTTTTTTGTGTTTTCAGTGGTTTTCAGAATAGGAACCCAAAACTAGGCTTCTCTTACCCATATCTTTAGTCATTGGATACCGATTTTGAAGTGGGATACCTCTATAAATTTGTTGTTTAATTTTTTATTAATCTACATTCAAGATTATCTTTTAAATGAAGTTCAAATTTTTAACCCCTTTCCATGTTTGATTTCTTTGTGTTTTTAGTGGTTTTCAGAATAAGAACCCAAAATTGCACTTCTATAACCCATATCTTTAGTCATTGGATACCGATTTTGAAGTGGGATACCTCTATAAATTTGTGGTTTAATTCTCTAAAAACCAACATTCAAGATTTTCTTTTAAATAAAGTTCAGATTTTTAGCCCCTTTCCATGTTCGATTTCTTTGCGTTTTCAGTGGTTTTCAGAATGGGAACCCAAAGTTGCACTTCTATAATCTATATCTTGAGTCATTGGATACCGATTTTGAAGTGGGATACCTCTATAAATTTGTGGTCAATTCTCTAATAACCTACATTGAAGATTTTCTTTTAAACAAAGTTCAAATTTACAACCCCTTTCCATGTTCGATTTCTTTGTGTTTTCAATGGTTTTCAGAATAGGAACCCAAAATTGCACTTCTATAACCGATATCTTTAGTCATTGAATACCGATTTTGAAGTGGGATA